AGATATTGCTTGTTCAAAGAGGACTTGACCGGCACCAGGAAAAATGAACGGCGACCATCCAAACTTTCACCAACTGTTTGAATCCGCCAGATCTGTTTCTATCGTCAGAAACTGTCAGCCACGTCTCATAAACCGCTAATGCCCAGCTCTCGCTACGCTCGGGCCCACGCTGTTCTTAGAAGATTTCTCAGAAACGCTTAGTTATAACGGACGCAAAAACCAAAACACCGATCTGCCGTTTGATATTTCTGTATTGTTACGCCAACATATAAAAGGAATAAACGAACTAAGCAACTAAGGTCTGAAAACAAATATTACAATAATAAATCTCTGTATTACTTCTGACGATGTTTCAATCTTCTTTCTGAACAGCGACCGATGAGACGATGACTGTCGTATTGATGCCTCCGCGAAAATTGGGGAAGTTGATTTTGAGCAAACAACCAAGAATTGATCGTTCAAACTTCAACTCCATTGACAGGAGGTATTGCGATTACAAAGCGTTTCGAGTTATCTATCGTCTTAGCAGAATACATATACTGATTCGCGATTCATAGTCGCAAAGTGAGGGTAAATCTACCTGAGATAGTCTGCTTGTGGTTTCTGCATGTTGCAATGTACCATAAGGAGAGGCTATACTTATGCTGTTATATGTATGACTCAGTGCAACTACGGTTATCGTACTAATTAAAAGCAGAATGCCTAGGGTTCTCAGCCAAAGAATACGATACGTTGCTATCTGCTCATATAATCACGTAAACAAAAGTTTTCCAAACGCCGCATTTACTCCTAACAGTTTACCCTCAACTTCTAACTTAGCACGTGCCACTTATGTTACTGGAACACAATCGCATTACAACAGAAGGAAGACAGATTAATTGAAAAATTGTTTATTAAACAAAAGTCAGATTTCAAATGTACATACAATTCAGTAAGTTCCATCTGCGTACACGGCACATATATGTTTTTCTATAAGTCTGAAAAGGTTTAAGAAAAACATTATTTACTTGGGTAGTACATGTATGATCTGAATAGAAAAAATTTCCTGACAAGCATTTACAAGTAATCACTTTACAAAAAAATATATAGGTAACCAAATAGTTTTCATTAAACTTAGGGGACTTCGCGATTTATCGTTGGTCGATATCTAGTAGGTCCATCAAAGCATCATGAAATGATAAAATTATTTAACGACAAGTTATGCAGTAGCTTCCAGAGCTTATACAAATATTTTAGCAAAAATGACAATGACTTTACGAGAAATAATTGGTCTCGACGGCAATAATAATAACATTCATGTTCATTGTGACTATAAAAACAATAATAGGTATTATTATCGCCACGAATTCATCATTAACTTAGATAGACAACTAACAATAATACAACCATATCAAATAAATGTATCGCTTAATCTTGAGAAGGTGTTTACTTACTTGCACTGTATTCTCTCAATACTGATGTGCTCAACAAGCTTATTCCAACCGAATTAAAGATTAATTCTGAAAGTGAGTGGAGATCCAGTTTATGTCAAATAAAAACATGTAACTTACATGTATTGCACTGCTCACTGAGACATCTGGTACCTGCTTTCCTATCTTGATGACAAGAACACAGATTATCTAGGTTTACCTACATATACAAAAGTATACTGTCAGCCAAGTCCCATAAACCGTTAATGCCCAGCTCTCGCTACGCTCGGGCCCACGCTGTTCTTAGAAGATTTCTCAGAAACGCTTAGTTATAACGGACGCAAAAACCAAAACACCGATCTGCCGTTTGATATTTCTGTATTGTTACGCCAACATATAAAAGGAATAAACGAACTAAGCAACTAAGGTCTGTAAACAAATATTACAATAATAAATCGTTATGTTACTTCTGACGATGTTTCAATCTTCTTTCTGAACAGCGACCGATGAGACGATGACTGTCGTATTGATGCCTCCGCGAAAATTGGGGAAGTTGATTTTGAGCAAACAACCAAGAATTGATCGTTCAAACTTCAACTCCATTGACACTCCCCGGCAAAAAAGGGATCCAACCCTTTTTTCCTTCACGATCAATGCACGTTGACTTGGATGCCATTGCGAGAACCTGGGTCACACGGACAGAGCTGAAATGGAAAACAAACAGGAAAGCCAACACACCACAAGCATACCCACAGCACAATCTCACACATCGCTGACGACCTGCGCCTCCAGACAGAGACCTCCTCTTGACATCTTGGAACACAATCGCCACTTACTAGAATGACTCTTGCAGAATGCAACGTGACCATAGCAGCACCTCATGATACTCTTCAAGCATCCTCTTTTCTATTCATTATCAATTATCACTGAAATCGCCTGTCACTCATTCTGCCTCAGTTCTAGTAGCGGTGACGCATGCGAGCCTCAGTCGTTGACACTCTTTCTCCCCGGCGTGTCGGACCGCAGCTAACATTTATCTCCATGTGCATGTCATTCCCAGCAATAGCCTCCCCGGAGTATACGACCCATCTGCTGTCCTTAACATCAATCAATTCATTCATGGATGTAGAAGACAAGAAACAACTTCAGAAATAATCACGACGAAAATTTTAACAAAATTACGCAATAACAACAAGGTACGAAAACAACAAGTAAACACAATGAATTCAAATAACACCAATTGATATGACACACCACACGTATATACAAACAGTACACACAAACTCGCATTTCATGTCTTGATGGAATACCCTTGAAGAATTGCAGGACTTACACCAGTACGCCTACAAACCTTCACAGGTTGACCATTGTAATTTGTGGAATGTCCAGACACAAACAAGATTAACCAACAATTACATCAATTGGAACTCACACAACTATTTAACACAAACATATGTACAATCAACACATCAAATGTTGTGGATTCTGACACGACAAACTACCCTTGAAGAACCGTAGGACTTACAGCAGTACGCCTACATTCCTTCTCAAGTTGATGATCCAAGTGGAAGTCGTCCGGACACAAACAGAATTACCAACAGCTAGATGACAGATGATATCAATTCAGTATATACAAATGAACATATGTACAAGATCATACACCAAGCACATTGGACTGCTCATTGATGCGCTACCCTTTGAAGAACTGTAGGACTTACAGCAGTACGCCTACAACCCTTCTCAGGTTGACGCCCTAGGTTGGAAAATCGTCGAAGAGTTCATTTGCTAACTTCCTTCTATCAGCTATATCCTCAAATCTGAACGGTAACACGCTGATGTCATTGTATCGTAGAATATAGATGACGAACAAACACACGACGTATCTGGTCAACCAAGTGTAGAAACAGAGTAATTTACACCAAAGATAATAGCATTCAAATAGTAACTTGAAACTAGAAATGCCTTTATTCATGCAAGTCAATTTAACAATTACTCTTTCGTTTACACTTGGCTTATTCTCACTAAACTGACCATTGATATTCGTCCTTTCAAACGAACTGATACTAGCATAGTCATAGCACAAGATACTTGAGTTGTGCATATTATTATATATCGTCTTATAGTACTGAAGACGAATAATAAGTAGTGCGATTGTGAAATATCGTAAGTTCCTTTGTTAGCTGGTATTTTCTACATCTTAAGGTGAAAATATATCTGAAAACATTGATTGACAGAGTCTATTACTATTGTTAAAAATGGTGATATGGCTTACTGGCTTAAGCAGAACTCAACTTTCAGCCAATAGGTACCGGGGGTTCGAATCTCGTTTCATCTACTTCAGTTTGGACAACTCAGTGAAAACATTGGCCCCTGCCAACCTCCTACACCACAAGAACAACAACAAGAATTGTGTGGCTCATAGATTAGTTCATGAGAAATGTATACCTGTGAACTGAGTTCTAACTGTTCTTATCATACATATTTGAATGATGTCGCATTTATGTGAAACAGTAATTCTCAATCGAATGAACAGCATACAGTACAGGTTATGGCGGATTAATAAAACGATTTGTTTATAAGAAGCTAATATGGTCCGTGAGGCATTAAAACTAACCCAGTTTTTTTGTTGGTTTCAGTATAAGTGTATATCAGCTAAATGTTTCTTATGACATCGCGCTCCAGGCCCTCAAATGGAACCCGAATGGGTAATATGTAGGAGATCGTGGGAGGAGGAGATGAGAAACTATGGGAAATCATGTAACCACCTAAACAGAACCATAGAAAATAGGACAAAGTGAAGATGTGCTATTGAAGCCCTATTTTCCACTCGGAACCTAAGGGAATAATAATAATAATAATCAATAATAAATGTTCGTCTAGACGGTTTCAAAACATGTGTACATTGGATAGTATGCTTCCAACCCACCTCGACGTGACAGTCGTGTAAGGAGATGTAGACTGCTAGCCTAGAGTCCTTGAGACTCTAACAATCATCAAAATGCCTGAAGACTGTCAAAATCCTTAAATTTATTTATTCTTTATCACATGCATTTCCGTTCATACTAATGTCTTTGATTATGCTTTCTACAACTGTGTCGTCTTCTTAAATATGGAAGCTTGAGCTGTCACTCTTTTGTCAAAAGTCCTACACGTTGAAAATTGCTGTTCTACCCTACTACATAAAGTATTCAAATGAAAAGAAATCTACAGTCTACAGGATCTGAAATCTTTTGATGTCAGTTAGTTACTCAAATGTCTGGTCGTGTAATCTTAGGGTAAGAGGCAAAGCAAATTTCCTCTGTGAAGTACATCAACCCTCTAAAAATTAACCTGGTGTTTTCACCGACCCCTTCTCACGCTCACCTGAAATGTTACTCCACAGTTTGATTACAATTCCATGTAGAGTCAATGATGCTACCTGACAGCCTTTACCTCAATAGGTGGAGTGAGCGTTTGAACCAGTGGCCCTTGATCAATTAGCAACAGACAGCTTCTCCCTCTCTGAATTATATAAAACTATATCAGAGTTATGCGAAATAACGCTTACATGAATAAATAATAATAACAATAATAGTAGTAATAATATGAAACCTACTTATAGTATAACTGATTAGTTCCCACCACATCAGGATCACAGGATAGCAGGCTATCATCAAAACTATTTTTATACTTTATATTATAATCATGACCTGAAAGATATCCTTTCTCAGAGACATTGGATGAGATATCACAACAGCCTAACCAACTATGTCGTTTCTCAGACTCCAATAAATGCTCATGATTCGATCTGGTTTGATAATAGTGATGATGTTTGCTGTTGTTGATAACCTCCTGAACCTGGTCTGTGTAATAGAAAAGAACAAAGAAAAAACAAAACAAAAAACATAAGGATGCTTAGTGTAAGTGTAGAATTTGCGTATTGTGGTAGAATATCATTCCATATATGAAATTAGCATATTTAATATATAGCTATATAACACACAGTGAGTGATATAGTATTTAATAACTGGATGACGTTTTCAGTACAACTGATCACTCATAATCATATCAGTGAATCTCCACGACTTCTTAACTTGCTCTTTTTTGAGACTCTTAGTCGAACTCATCAGTATACTTGTTATTGTGGCGTGTGCTACTGATACGATTTATCAGTAGTATATAAGGAGACGATCATAGCCACACAAAAGCATCAGATAAAAGGGAGATAGATTCTATGTCAGAGAAACCAAATTTATTTTTTAATTTTTCAACTTGATTCCACACCGTATTTTCGGTACAAGTATGGAATTTTCAGCATGTGATATCGGTAGCCCAAATTTTGCAGGCCGAGCATAGATAACAGGTGTGCTTCGTCGGCAGGGGATCGAACCTCGGACCATGTGCATAGTCGGCGAGAATCCTAACCACTGTGACACCGACGCACATGTGATTCAGAGTTGCAAAGAGACACATGAGAGACGTGAAAGGAATATATAGAAACAACATGAAGGAATACGAGATGTAGCTCAATATGGAAGATCTGTACAAATGTTATATTGAAGATAAGGTGTTCATAATTTCCGAATAAACATTCCTTTACCAAGTCTCTGGTCTTCTACCATTACACAATTACAGGCATGTTGAGAGGAGGATCAGTGCTTCAAGCAATTCAATGAAATGCCTTTCCATTGAACAAAATATTCTAAACGTGCCTAATTTCCTTTTTTGTAAAGGGTTAAAGATTGCATACAATACAGCATAATAGAAGGCTGCAAAATATAATGCAATCTTGAGAGGTGTTTTAAAGTACACAGGGTTTTTACTTAAAAAGCGTATATAAATGCCATGAAGGAAATAATGGAAATATATTTGAGGATTTCACCATGAACCGACATCGGTTAGAGGACCATTGGAAAACCTGCAGGGAGTACTGGACAGCTGTTTCGTCCTAGTTTGGGGCTCTTCATCAGTACGCAGTCACTGAGGTTCGAACACAGACTTTCCGATTACAAAGGTAGCTCGTAACCGGTCCTGTACATAGCAGGTCGGGTGTGAGGTGAAATATTCATCGCTGATGATGTTGGCTAGTTAGTGACCACGCTATATCATGAATTGGCAGTTGTTGGAATTCATGGGTTAGCTATCGGATCGGGTCCCAATGGTCAACGAGAGCGCCTTTTAATCAGAAGGTCCTATGCCTGGACTCCAGTGAGTGTGCGTACTGATGAAGAGTCCCGAGCTAGGACGAAACAGATGTTCATTACTCTCAGGTTTTCCAATGTTTCTCTAAACAATGTTAGCTCACTGTGAAATCCTTTAATCTTTTTTCTAACATTTCAGTATCATCAGAGCTTAATGCTTCTTTTGAGAGGCTCACCACCCCCACTTTGTTCAATCGATGATTGATGGTGTTTTCATTGATAGCGTCACTTTCTTGCATTAATTTGTTCAACTGTTGGATACGATTATTTCTGGACACATGAAAAGCAGCTGCTGATTATGCCTTTTCAAATGTTCCAAGTATGGATATTGTAAAATCCATGATCATTTACACTATTCTTCAGTTGTCCAACCTTATTTCCGATAGTAGTTAGTTTCGTGACGATTTTGTGTATTTCTTTTTTTTTTAAACAGAGTCTACCGAGCTGTTCTTCTGATGCCTTCACTGTTTTTTGTTACAGACGGAAAGCCTATACGAAGATATTTGGACATTATTGCATTGTAAGTGCAGAAGATAAGAGAATTAGTAACATACTTTCTAGCGAAGTTAAGATATCATGGCTAAAGTCAAGGTCTTTCAAAGGTTGACCTTCAAGAACCGATCAGATACAGGGAATGGAATGAAATATCATTCCAAATCATATCATGCCTGTCTTTTCTGACTTGGAGAGGATATATACAGTAATATACTTATTTACTAGGTACTTTTCTGCAAATCTACACTTTTAGGTAGGTTTATGGCTTGTAAGATTAGGGCTTAGGGTTAAATTTAGGATTACGGTTAGTGTTAGGAGTAGGTTGGAGAATAGTGTAAGAAATATCAATGGAATTGAAGTTACCAAAAGCTGCAGTTACCCAGATTAACGGGTATATGGTGCGTGGCACGATTTCTCTATAGATCATCAGTATTGACTGGAAGACATTTTAAAACACATAAACTACAACTATGCATGGTAATATCAAGTTTGCAATATTTTCTAGTGTGTTTATTCAATGAATATGCGAATTTTTGCATCTGAGTTCTGATTGGTTGTTCAAGGTCACTATGGTTTTGGCTAAGATAGTTTAACTCTTCATTGTAATAAAGGTTTTGTATTACCCAATGAATGAAAAACAAAACGATATTGTTTTTAACTCTCTCGAGTTTTTCTTATTGAGGAAAACACATTTATCACTCTTAACCACATTCAAATCCGACTAGGTCAGCAAATAATAAATTGTTCTGATTGACCGTAGTTTGGACCAAGATTAAACCAATGAGACGAAAAGTCATTCAATGAGGTTATTTCATGTTTCCAAAGTAAACTAAATCTAGAAATTTAAGGAGTTAACCACTTCTACCCCTGAAGCTATTGAACTAAAAAGGTTCATTTCAATTTTGGTCGCTTCCTATCAATCTGCAACTATATGCTACTTAAAAATCTTGTCAGTAGTACAAGCCACACTGTAAGTTTATTGAATAGGTAGTTTTCGAACAGGAGGATCATAAGTAGAACATAGTTCCATATCAGAAAAAATCATTTGATATAAGTAATACACAGGAATATAGTTTTTGGAATAGTGTTCTCTGAGCTCCTTGGTTTAATTGCGGAGCTTTCATCGTCTTTCTGGACGACATCTTCAGCGCAGTATTTAGGATAAAGTGAAATGATTTAAATTTCTTCATGAGTCTCCCGGTAACCATCTTTAGATATTTATTGACCGTTTTCTATTGATTGGGATTTTAAACTTTCTGATCACCTGATTTACTTCTTATTAGTTGGTATATTTCATCTATATTAACGTGTTTATTAATTGCGTTTTCATTTGAGTACCAGGCTTCTAGGAATTCTCTGGCACATTTGGTGTTTCCTCTGTTTAAGATTTTGACATTATCCCAATCAAATTGATGTCCATGATCGTCTGAATGTATTGATACTAAAGAATTTATATCATGTCTTTTCACGGCTGATTTGTGTTCCTGGATTCTTATTCGAAGGGGACGCCCACTTTGGCCGATGTAATGTTTGTTACAGTTCACACAATTTATTTTGTAAATGGTGTTAATTTTATCTCCCTTTTCTATCGGATCTTTTGGTTTGCATAAGATAGAATTAAGCGATTCAGCTGGTTTGTGTGCTACATCTATATCAAACGGTTTCATTATTCTAGCCGTTATTTCAGAGATGTTTCTGATATATGGTAGGATGAATTGCTTTTTGGTCTTTGGTGATGGTTCTTTGTTGGTGCTTTCATTCGATTTTAAACACTTTTTGATGAAATTTTTTGGATAACCATTCTTCTTGAACACCGTTTGTAAGTATCTTTCTTCCATTCTTTTCAACTCTGGTGTGCTACAATGTGTTTGAATTCTTCTAAACAATGTCTGCACACAGTTTCTTTTGTGAGTAATTGGATTGTTGCTAGTATAGTTGAGTATTTGATCTGTGTGCGTTGACTTTCTGTATACTTGTGTTTCTAAATTTCCTGTGTTGGTTCTCCTGATTAAGACATCTAAAAATGGGATTTTGTTATCTAACTCTTCTTCTCTTGTGAATTTGATGTCTTCAAATATGTTGTTTATTAATTTATGGGTATATTCTAAATCATTTCTCTTAATTATTACAAATGTATCATCAACGTAACGTACCCAGATTTTCGGTTTAATTATAGGTAGAGCTATTAATTCTAATCTTTGCATAACGGCTTCAGCTATTAATCCTGATATGGGCGATCCCATTGGTGCTCCCTTTATTTGCTCATATATTTGAGTATTAAATTGAAAGTATGTTGTAAGGCATAATTTTATGAGTTCTATCCAAGTTGAACATTGCGTTTTTATGTTTTCATCACTATAGAGTAATCGTTGCATAGTTTCTGTTGCTAGTTTTGGACTAATCGAAGTATATAATGCTGTGACATCAAAGGACACCATTATTTCATTGTCTTCTACCTGAATGTTTTTGATTTTCTCTAGAAATTGAATTGACGAATTGATAGAATGGTCGCATGATTCTGTTAGGTAATTTAACTTCCTGAAAAGTTCTCTAGATAGATTATATGTTGGTGTTCCTGGAAGCGAAACGATTGGTCGTAAGGGGATGTTCGGTTTGTGTAGTTTTGGTCTACCATAAAATCGAGGTAAAATGGGTCCGTTAGATCTCATTCGCCATTGATCTTGTTCTGTAATTTGTCCTGATTTCGTTAGTTTATTTAACGTTGTTCTGATTTTGTTATCGAATGTTTGTATAGGGTTTTTTGTCAACTGTTGATATACATTATTATCTTTGAGTAAATCCTCTGCTTTCTTTATGTAGTCTTCTGTGTCCAGGATTACTGTTGTTCTTCCTTTATCAGCCGGTAGAATAACTATATCTTTTCTATTCTTTAGTTTCTTCAATGCATTTTGTTCTTCAGTGCTAAGTTGGGAATTATGTCTTTTCTGTTTGAGTAAAGGTATGATACGTTGACGTATTTCTTGTTGTACTTCCTCATTTAATTTTGATAATTTGAATGATGATTCTAATGAAGCACAAAAATCTGTTACTGAAGCGTCACCAGTATTGTAGTTGAGTCCTTTCTGAAGAAGTTGTTCTTCGGCTTTCGATAATGGCTTCTGTCAGATATAAACCACCAATCAACTGCCCTTTAGGCTGGAAGTTAGCCAAACAACATGGAAAACAAATGGTGAGATTAATGATCACGGATGCACACAATAGGATTAAAAAATATCAGCATATGATTAGATTTCAGAAAGAGAAGCTTGAACATACTCTTACCCCAGAACATCTGTCAACATTAAATACTGCCATTAAATTGATAAGCGAACGGCACAAGGAGCGAAGACGAGCCTTCCTCAGAGACAAACTAGCTAAGATATCCAAACAACCATCTGAAGAAACTCTAAACGATTGCGTAGTAAATCTATCGAAACAGCCATTATCGAAAGCCGAAGAACAACTTCTTCAGAAAGGACTCAACTACAATACTGGTGACGCTTCAGTAACAGATTTTTGTGCTTCATTAGAATCATCATTCAAATTATCAAAATTAAATGAGGAAGTACAACAAGAAATACGTCAACGTATCATACCTTTACTCAAACAGAAAAGACATAATTCCCAACTTAGCACTGAAGAACAAAATGCATTGAAGAAACTAAAGAATAGAAAAGATATAGTTATTCTACCGGCTGATAAAGGAAGAACAACAGTAATCCTGGACACAGAAGACTACATAAAGAAAGCAGAGGATTTACTCAAAGATAATAATGTATATCAACAGTTGACAAAAAACCCTATACAAACATTCGATAACAAAATCAGAACAACGTTAAATAAACTAACGAAATCAGGACAAATTACAGAACAAGATCAATGGCGAATGAGATCTAACGGACCCATTTTACCTCGATTTTATGGTAGACCAAAACTACACAAACCGAACATCCCCTTACGACCAATCGTTTCGCTTCCAGGAACACCAACATATAATCTATCTAGAGAACTTTTCAGGAAGTTAAATTACCTAACAGAATCATGCGACCATTCTATCAATTCGTCAATTCAATTTCTAGAGAAAATCAAAAACATTCAGGTAGAAGACAATGAAATAATGGTGTCCTTTGATGTCACAGCATTATATACTTCGATTAGTCCAAAACTAGCAACAGAAACTATGCAACGATTACTCTATAGTGATGAAAACATAAAAACGCAATGTTCAACTTGGATAGAACTCATAAAATTATGCCTTACAACATACTTTCAATTTAATACTCAAATATATGAGCAAATAAAGGGAGCACCAATGGGATCGCCCATATCAGGATTAATAGCTGAAGCCGTTATGCAAAGATTAGAATTAATAGCTCTACCTATAATTAAACCGAAAATCTGGGTACGTTACGTTGATGATACATTTGTAATAATTAAGAGAAATGATTTAGAATATACCCATAAATTAATAAACAACATATTTGAAGACATCAAATTCACAAGAGAAGAAGAGTTAGATAACAAAATCCCATTTTTAGATGTCTTAATCAGGAGAACCAACACAGGAAATTTAGAAACACAAGTATACAGAAAGTCAACGCACACAGATCAAATACTCAACTATACTAGCAACAATCCAATTACTCACAAAAGAAACTGTGTGCAGACATTGTTTAGAAGAATTCAAACACATTGTAGCACACCAGAGTTGAAAAGAATGGAAGAAAGATACTTACAAACGGTGTTCAAGAAGAATGGTTATCCAAAAAATTTCATCAAAAAGTGTTTAAAATCGAATGAAAGCACCAACAAAGAACCATCACCAAAGACCAAAAAGCAATTCATCCTACCATATATCAGAAACATCTCTGAAATAACGGCTAGAATAATGAAACCGTTTGATATAGATGTAGCACACAAACCAGCTGAATCGCTTAATTCTATCTTATGCAAACCAAAAGATCCGATAGAAAAGGGAGATAAAATTAACACCATTTACAAAATAAATTGTGTGAACTGTAACAAACATTACATCGGCCAAAGTGGGCGTCCCCTTCGAATAAGAATCCAGGAACACAAATCAGCCGTGAAAAGACATGATATAAATTCTTTAGTATCAATACATTCAGACGATCATGGACATCAATTTGATTGGGATAATGTCAAAATCTTAAACAGAGGAAACACCAAATGTGCCAGAGAATTCCTAGAAGCCTGGTACTCAAATGAAAACGCAATTAATAAACACGTTAATATAGATGAAATATACCAACTAATAAGAAGTAAATCAGGTGATCAGAAAGTTTAAAATCCCAATCAATAGAAAACGGTCAATAAATATCTAAAGATGGTTACCGGGAGACTCATGAAGAAATTTAAATCATTTCACTTTATCCTAAATACTGCGCTGAAGATGTCGTCCAGAAAGACGATGAAAGCTCCGCAATTAAACCAAGGAGCTCAGAGAACACTATCAATTCCAAATCATCCACCTGAGTTACAAATCTTTTCTATTACAGGAATATAGTATTGATAACCAATGATGTTTTGAGCACAATCTACTACTTTGATTGGACACTAGTCTAGTCCTTTCTTTGGTGCAGACTGGATTCTATCATTCAGGTTTGCAATGTGACCATCATTCTAGGTGGCTCACCATTACGGTGCACATTGGTGTGATGATATTAGATGGTTAGAGGTAATTGGCAGGAAGCCTTAGGGGCCTAGATTTCATGCTGGTTGGCACTCACTAGTCAGTAAGGCGTATCTGCAACCTTGAAGGAACTCATATCCCTTCTGAGATTCGAACCCGCGTCACCCAAGATGCAGATACGCCTTGCTGACTGGTGAGTGCCAACCAGCACGAAACCTAGGCGCAAGGCTTCCTGCCGATTACCTTCAACCATCTAATAGAAACTACTACTAGTGTTCATAATCAAAGGATGTCTGTCTGTCTGCCTATGAGATGGGACGCCAAAAAGAAAAAACATAGGCGAAAGAAGTAACTTTGAAATAGTGGCAATACAAAATTTTTAAAGAGAGACATAAATAACTAGTTAACTAGACTTTAGCATCTTTTAACTCTTAACATTTTCAAATAAGTATTAGATACTCAAAATTATGTAAAAAAAACGAAAACCACTTGAGAGCAGAAAAATTCCAAAACCAACTTGAAACTAGGCATACAATACTACATTTTCAAGAGTATATCACATAAATAATAATAATAACGACTGACTGACTAATTTCATCGTAGAACTTTGCACAAGTAGGAGTGCAGCAGTTCGAGTTGCCGCACTTTCTCAATGTAGCGCACAGAGTAACACAAGGGAGTAAAGACAGATTCAAAAGAGAGAGAGAGAGAGAGATAATAAACAGAAGTCTGAGGCAAAATGAACAGTAATATGGGAGAACAATAGAATCTTATTGAGTATTATAAATCATAAAGAGTGGATGCATCTGAGCCATTCATCCAGAACGAGGATTTTGGGTCATATTACCAGTTGTTTCCAGCCTTCGCTGATCTTTATCATCCCGAGGACCCCCAATCAGACTACAGTCTACACCTTTACATGTGACTAGCTGGTTTAAACAAACTTTTGTGGATTTTATTGACTGATGAAGCCATGTTTTGGTTTGACCACCACTAGCCAACTCTATTTCAACCCGATCCATCTTATGTTAGCTAACATTGATGGTCGAGGAAGGCGATGGCTAGACATAATAGTAATAATAATAATAATATACATAAAAGGAGATTTGTTTCGAAAGCATTGTTAAAAAAACAGCGACATAAAATCCACGCATACATACCTTCGTTCAACATCCTGTAAGTGGATAGGACTAATATTTGATTAGCCAGTAGTCTGCCAGCATAAGGACTTCCAGAATCAGAAACTTGTTCACTTCCACCGGATCTATGTTTACGAAGATTTTCTGATGGTTCTGTGAAGAAATACCGAAGAAGAAAAAAATAACAGAGAATATAATCTGTAAACGAATAAGAACATTGAAAGTTGGTTCATTGACCTTGGTCCCTATTGGCGGGCAACTCGAAGGCGCAAATGATTCATTCGTGTACAAGTTGGAAGAATACGAATAAAAGTATTTGTTTAAAGACTTTGTATAGAGTATTGATTTTAACTGCCGAAGAATACAATTTCTTATTGGTCCTTGTGTTTATGAGTTAAAGTTGACAATCGCACCTAGTATAATTGTCGATTCGGAGCATCTTCGCAAAAGACAGGAACTTAGGATTAAGTTCCTTGACATCATCATTCAATAATCAGTATTGCACAAAAAAAGTTGAATTAGCCCCAGTGGACTAATTCCCAGAGAAATCTCATGATACATCATCTCTGGCGCAGAAATAATATCCGTCTATCGGTAAAAAGACACGTATATACCGAACGGAAATTCTCTGTACTCCTACATAGGCCTCCAAAGCCTCAGGATGGTCGGGGGTGGGTCCCTTGCGCTGTGGGTTGGCCAGCCCTCCGTGCACCTCTTGAAATGCTCCCATATGACCGGGCGTCTCACATAGCCTCTCCTGAGGAAGTCATACTCACTGCCTTTACGTGGCGGAGGTGTTTTTCACCAAAGTGAGAGGGCAAAAGCGGATACCCGGCGCTCTTCACCGGGTTGACTGTCCATTGGATGACAGTCTAGGGGAGATGGCTAAACCCTGATTCCAAACCTCCAACGAATGGCGTATGAAGCTCACCGGCAGACGTATGGACAAAGGGCTTATTGGATGCCCTGGATGTCTGGCCCCATTCAAAAAGGCATATGAACCGGACTCCAGTCACCGGCTTCCAATGGATAGTGGACTCCCTATTCCACTCCTACTGCCTTGTAGGTCACACTTGGTTGTGTAAAGGCTAGAGCTGCACTCTCAAACAAAAGGCCGAGCGATGCTGGGGACATCACTCGTACCTAATTCCCATGAAACTTGATGAACTCTCTACAACATCAACCGAATTCCAGTAGTGGTCCAACAACGTCGCCTTCGGTGGTTTGGTCATGTTCTGCGCCGACCAGATGACGATCTGGTCAAATCAGTTCTAAATCCCTCGCCATTTCCATCTTGGCGATGTCGCAGGGGTGGACAGCTGAAAACATGGCTTGGTACAGTCAAGGCTGATATGGAGTGCCTGGGGCTACAAACCGTCTACGGACTCCGTCTGTGGAACAAGAATTGGATAACCCTGTCGCAAAATCTTGCATCAGATCGCCGCGCCTGGGCAGCGATGATTCGAGATGTTCATGAAGCCGGCTCATCCTCCCGTAAGAGATAGTCGAAGTAAAGCAAAAAAAAAGCTACATAGCTACGACGCATCGTCATTGAAAGTGGAAGCTATAAAAAGGTTAGCTGTCTTTGATCATTGTGTTCCGTCTCTCCGATCTAAAGTGGTACAATACGTTCAGTAATGGTGAGGTTAGGTATAGAGTATTAATTAAGAAGGGAAAATCAATAGATGAAATGGTTGGGATATTTATTGCGAATGACAAGTCAGCTCTACTTTCGTCAGGGAGTATTAATTTTGTTGGAATAAAGTGAGGGGTAGTGAAATCAAAACCTGGAGTCAATCAATGAGGTCTTCGACAGTTGATTTGAACCATGTATAAAGGTGTAGACTACCTACTTTATTCGGATATCCGGGAGGCTAACAGTTAATGACTTGAGACAACTGATGATATGGTTGTAATCATTTGTAATGGCGCAAACGCATTCACTACTGGGAATTTCCTAGAGACTCATCAACTCCACATTATCCTCCATGCTACTATTCTTCCTTGAAGACATTTCTACCCATCATAGGCCTTCTGAATTTTTCATCTCCTTTTTCTACCTTTGCGTATTACATGGAGCATGACAACTTGAACGGCTATACTGATATGTAAAATTCTATGTTGAAACCTAGTCAGTCAGACAGTCATTGATTTAGATGATATGTAAGTGTTACGTGCAGAAGATCGACAGGAAGAACTGGATCTAAATTTCATGCTTATTAGGATCTGATCAACAAGGCGGGTATAGCAAATCTTCAAATTTAAACTTGCCTTATTCAATACCAAAGTTAGAAGCTTCATCATCAATAAGATATTTTGCTCTGTGATTATACAATTTCAAAATAAAGTTTATCAAGTGGAAATAGGGCATTAAAAAAAGAATGTATAAACTCTATGAATACAATGCGAGAAAAGTAAATACCTGATCCACTAACAAAACCACTACTGGAGACTGTATCTTCTTGTCCTGATTCAGGCAGCATTATATTATGATTATTATTATTATTATCAATTGATGAAGTTGGCTGACTACTCGGTGTACGAGTGGATCGAACTTGTTCCATAGCACGAAACAAATGTTTTCTATGAATAACAATAATAATAATGAAATGCAACAAAATTTACTGTGAAGTACAAAAATACAAACACTAAACTCAGTATGATTGTTTAAACAAAATGTTTGAAGTACACATAACTTATTGAAAAACTTGACTATACAAATGTACATATAACTCTCTACAAAGATTGAGATGGATCGGACACACGTGAAAAGAGACGATCAGGTGACATAGCATGCCAGACCATAGCTCGAGTGGCGCGAAGTTAAACTTTAAACACCACTAACTAACACCAGTGGAGTTCGACCGCACCAATGACCTTGAAACGCCCGCTGAGCTAATGAGTGAAACCTGGCAAATAATGTTGTCGATGATCAATAAAATATGCTCATCGAAGTGTTGTGTTATTTAAATGGGACATCTGACAAGTTTCAGCTTAGGTTTAGGAAAGATTAAGTTATGCTTTAAGCCAAGGACACGACTCTATGTGAACACAGAGAAGACAGAGGTGATCATGATAAACAACCAACAACATCAATAACAACAACTAGTACATCTTCAATTGTGTCCACGATTGCTCATAGTCTCTCATCCCCTCCATATCACCCTCGCACCGACGATTCACTAGTCGCTTCCCATTTGGATTCCACTCGAGCGATGGTCTGCATTGAGCGCGATATCATTCGACGGCCTCCTCAGCGTATGCCTCGCCTAGTATACCAGATCGCTAGTTTTCTAGACAGTCCCAAGCCCATGCAAAAATGGAGTGTTGGATATAGGGTTATCGACCCTACCTGACAAAACTAATCAAACAGCTACAGAAACTTCAACCAAGAACCTGTCGTCTAACAAATATGCCGAAGTAAAAAGGAGATGGATAACTGAACACACGCTGAGGAGACCGTTGACCGACTTCACGCATCAGGCAGAACCTAGAGTTCAATCAAAAACAATGGGTTCGAGGATGAAATGCAGGAGATAATGTGAAGAGGAAATGACATCTTACAGGCTATCGTAGAGACAGCTAATAAAACAACGACGGAGTACAGGGTGAAACAGAAATGTGTTGGCTGAAACCACATGTTCCATTTGGAGAACCCAAGGAAAAATTCACTATGTATGTGTATGGATAACCCTAAGTATAGTTATTTAGCGTCACTGGCATATCCAGTACCTGATTTGAGCATTATTCACTGACTGACATAGCCTTTCATTCATTTCAAATCCGAATAATTTCCTTAGACTAAGTGACCACTGTGTGCGTCGCTGGCATAGCGGTTAGGACGCTCGCCGACCATGCACATGGTCCGGGGTTCAATCCCCGGCCACAGACGCACTCCTTCACCTCGCTAAGCCAGAAATAATCCTGGTAAAGAGGAAAGGTTAGGCATGGAGCTAGCAACCCCATCCTGGAAAATAAACACTGCTACATAAACTTCAAGCCACTAAGCTTGAAGCCCTATATTCCAGTGAGGAACGTGAAGGAAAAAAATAGAAAGTGACCACTGTATAAAACTTCTAAAACAAAATAAATAAATTCTCAAGCGGAAAATTCACTTACACATTATCAGCAGCATATTCTTTCATTTTTGTATGCGCTAAATCTGCAGCCAGTGTAGTCTCTAAATTATCTGAACCAGGATGTTGTTGTGTAGCCAGCATATCCAGTGATGATGAACTGCCATCGTCATCATCACTAACGTTTTGATGCGAAGATGAAGGATTATAACAGGATGTAGGATCTGGATCTGACTGAGTAGGTGTTATAGCAATTCCACTTAAATAATTAGATGACAATGATGGTGTATGATGCCAAGAAGTTGGACTATTCATGATAGATGTGTTAGACATTAGGGAACCAGGACGAAAATAGCTACGACGAGAACGTTTCCGTAGTGCACGAATCTCCGACTAAAGTATCAATAAACGCACACACACACACACAAAAATCAGCAACAGGAAATTGAAAATATCAATGACTCAGTAGATATCCATATACAGATGACTGTTAATTGTCAGTAATTTTAAGCCAACTAGTATAAAAAATGTTAACACACTCGCTGATTAACAAATAAAAAGCAACATGGATTTTGACAATTAGAAACAACAACAACAACGCGGAATAAAAATGGAAGGAGTTTTTTTCAAAACACTATACACCACTTGATACGACTGAAGGTTGGATACACTTCAGTTCTCTTTTCGAACTACTTTTCTGCGGCCTTGCGTCCATAGCCTCTATCAGGTAAGTCTTTTTCACAACCTTCATGCAGCGGGTGAAAGTATGGAGCTTACACCCGAACTGATGACTATACGGATCTGCCTAGAGGAGCTGGAAAACCCTCATTCCAAACCTATGGTGTACTTGGTCTCCAGAATCTGAGCATATCGAATGGCGTATAAACCTGTATTGGTCACCGGAAACCATGAGAATCCAGCTTTTAACGCTGCTTCAATACATTGTGGACCATATTTCAAGTCAAAGGCTCAGGGCTGACCCTTAAGACAATCACCCACTTCGATTTGAGTGGCTGGGCCATCGGACAAATTATAAGATTCTGTGTGGCGTATATCTTGGTAGCCATAATGCACCGTACTTGTTTCAATAATAATAATGATAATAAATTGTCTATATACCAGGCGGTGAACCACACTCATGATACTACCCACTTGACTCGGATTAAATAAGTGGCGTGGGATTTCAGACCATGACTCATTGGATTAGAAATTGAGTGCATAACCCAACAAGTTAAATTTCCCCTAAACTTTAAAAGAAGACAGTGGGTGTTCTCATTCCAGTTATATTATTTACTTATGCTTAACTCTACAACAAAACAACAAGCTGGTTGTAGGAGAAGCAACGAGAGGACTTCAGGTGGACGTAGAGAAGACACGGGGTGATGTAGATAACCAATCAATAAAACAATCAGTACCAACCGCTGTTCACGGGGGAAATCTGAAAGATGTCAAAGCCGGCCAGAATTGGAAAGGCATCATATGCCTTCATCAATCTGAAGTCAGTTTCAAAATCATCTGCACTGTACTCAGCCAGCATGAAGAATAAGATTCGAATTCTGTTCAACACAATTGTCAAGTCCGTTCTTCTGTGTGGGTCAGAAATATGGGCAGGGAGTTACGAAAAGCGTTTCCAACAGCCTACAGCAGACTTTTATCAACCGCTGTCAACTTCGCTGGCTCCACAGTGAAGATCAAATGGCCTGCTGGTCAGAAATAATTAGCAACAATAAACTCTGGCTGGGAACAATCCAACCAAGAGCCAATTGCTCAACAAATATGTGTGACAAAATGGAGATTGATTGAATAAACGCTGAAGAGATTATCGAATGACATCGCGTACCACCCCTCGGGTGGAACTCGAACGAGAAACGACGACTGAGTCGTCACCAAGAGCGTGGTATGGAGGAGATAGTGCGGGGAGGCGATCAGGAATTAAAGACAATCTTCGGCCCAGCTTCAGAAAACTGCAAAAAATAGAACAAAGATGAGATGTGCTGTTAGGACTTTATGTTCCACTCGGAACCCCAGTGAAAAATAATAACAATGACAACAATATAACTCTACAACATTAATTCACGAATTTTGCGATAACCGAACCAAGAGAAAAGTAACTCAAAAAAGCCGCTATAGAATTTCATGTTGTAAAGAAATACTAATGTTAAGAATAAAAGCCTGAGATTTTCTCACAAACACAAAGAAAAACCTGGACAGAGAAATTGTCATTAGCAGTAAAGTCACACCGAAATATGCCGAAGCCTTTATACCTATTACAAACTAATACATCTAGTCGAAGTAACGCACAGAACTTACCCAAGCTTACAACAATTCTAAACTTATTCTAACATATACGTCGATAATGCCTTTTTATGGTAAATGAATATTTTATCTACCCACTATGTAACTGAAATACCGCTGGTCGTGCTTAAAAAGAAAGCTAGGTGCTTAATTAATGCGACAAAATCTTAAAAATAAGATTAGCATCTGTGAAATAATGTCTTAAGTGCTGAAATAAAACACTACCTGCCTAACCGCTGCGGTTAGTAGTGAAAAATAGCACTCTCTATGAACATAGTCTATTGAGACCAACCAATCCGCAAAGAGTAGGTTTCACACAGAATACATAGTGTGACAGCTACAGACTTGTCTGCGGATTACATACAATATGATTGATAATATGTTTGACCAGAGATGTGATAGTAAAGAAGAATACAACGAAAACATAATTCAACAAGGGGTAGAGGGAGGTGAATCGGTGACATGTGAAGACTCCTATGAATAATATTATTTCGTTTGTGAAATGTCACCGAATTTGATTACAGTTCAGTTGAGACGAGGTCACAAATGAAAAAAGAAATAAACAATTTCTAAAGTTGGTTTGTAAGGATTGGTTTTATTTTTACGATTTGATCACAGATTGATATCTGTTAGAGAACCACTGAAAACCAGCTGAGAGTATTGGAAAGCTGTTTCATCCTAGTTTGGTAATCATCGGCAGTACTCACCCACCACCACCCAGGCTCGAAACCAGGATCTTCCGGTTACAAGGCAAGCTCATGAATGAAATTTAACGAATTTCGGTTGTATTTTGTTAATGAATAATGAAAATATGATACACAGGAATTAAAAACGAACCGAAGGTGGCCGGGGAGGTGGGGAATTGAAATCCCACAGATGAGAAAAGATACTTGTCATAAGTGAAATGTAAATTGTTTCGATTGCTTAGCACTGTTTACGAGGTCATATATTCAAACCTTATAAATCCAAACGAAACAGGAGGGGATAGATTGTGTTGATTCACAGATGAAAATTTATACATGCTATAACGAAAATGTTAACAGTTGTGATTACAGTTCACCAAATGACAACTGTTGATGCTATCTTAGACTTCTTTTTGTTTCAAAATACACCGACAATGGGAATGATTCAATTTATTCCAGTTTAAAGAAAATACCGCCATCAGAAAATATCATTCAAGAACACACACACACATTAGCATGCTATTTCATAAACAGGGTTGATAATAAATTTTTTTTTCACGAGTTTGACCACGGATTGATATCAGTTAGAGAACCATTGAAAACCAACAGGGAGCACTGGACAGGTGTTTTATCCTAGTTCGGGAATCATCAGCAATACGCACCCACCACCCAGGCTCGAACCCAGGACTTTCCGGTTACAAGGCAAGCTAGTTCGTATACCATTCAGCCACCAGGACCCAACTTAATGGTCCATGAGGATGGATTTCCCATCAATGACATTGCTTGGTGGTGGCATTAAATCACGAATTGGTAGAAGTTAGAATTCACGGTTCTTTAACTGATATCAATCCATGGTCAAACTCGTAAAAACAAATCTAAACCTTACAAACCAATTCTTGAAAATAAACCTTTTTTTCTAAAAAACTATTGTGAAGCTGTTTACAGTTTTTTTATTGCACTAATTGATTTACACTGCTAACTTAGTTCCCTATGATGCAGTAGACAAACACTAAGTCTTTCTCATCTCTGAATAATTTTTTACGCATTGTACGATCCACTCGTAGGAAAGTTATACTATTATCGTTATCAGCAGGAAATATATCAAGGAAATCATTCAGAAATTAACACTAACGAGACTAAACGAAATCCTTCCCATTTTAGAAGGAAACATATAGTATACAACTTGACAGATATAGGAGTTGGGAACAAGCCTAGTCAGTTAATAATGCTTTCTAACATGAGTGAGGTAGACTGAACACCATAGAGAGGAGTACTTTGTTCATTTTGCATGGATCTGATCATACGTGTAACCCAGGGACTAACCCAGCCCAAAAATCAGAAGTCATAACCAGCGGCATCCATCAAGTCTAATAACAGAACACTTACTCGCCACCGAAGTTGACTGGCGATTGTGCTACATAATGTGAATATGCAGAAGTTGGAATTCATGCACAACTGAATCGGGTTCAAAGGCTGGATGGTGGTCTACGAGCTCGCCTTGTGATTGAAAGGTCGTGGGTTCGGATTCAGGTGAATGAGTTCGAAAAGACTAGGACGAAACAACTGTTCAATACTCCCAGTAGGTTTTCCAATGGTTCTCTAACTGATGTCATCTCTGGATCAAACCTGTAAATGTACTGTGTTTTCTAGATATGATCCCCCGATGACCAGAAAGCTGCGTAATACAGTTCCTCAACATAAACGCACAGAATTCAGGCATCGTGGTAGAGTATAATTCTACAATACAATAATTTTATTGCTCCCATTCATATCAAAGTATTCACAAACCTTTCAGAATGTGTTCATATAGTTCCATCCTTTGATTTAACATGTAATGCTGAAACGGTACAAGACGAGAGACTTGCTAAAGGAATGTTTATTTGCAATTCGGTACACCCTATCTTCAACGCACCACTTGCATAGATCTTCCGTGTTGTGCTACTTTCTCTCCTTCATTCACACTGTGTTTCTTTGTGTTCCTTTCACGTCTCTCCCATGTATCTCTCGGCAACGCTGTAGCATTTGCTTTATCTGACGTTAAATCTACCTCCCTGCTATTTGACGTTTTTTATGTACCGATGAATGTCTCTTTATATATTACTGATAAATCTTATCAGTAGCACACGCTACAGTACTATTTTCGATATTTCCGTTATTGATGTTGGATTATTCCTAATGCACTTGTTAGGTGTGTATTCAATGAACAAAGGTATGACGATTAACTTCCACCCCGCCCTGACTGCACCCGATTACCTTTTAGAAGAACTGTAGTTCTATCCTACTATACTATAAAATTGTGTCCCAGTGCATGCATTAAAATCACAGAGTTGTTTTGTTTATTAAAGTTAGGCATTTTCAGGTACATTCCAATGTGTAGACAACCTGATCCAGATCACCTGATTTGGCCTAGATACTTAACTTCACAGTCGATGAAAGGTATGTAGTAGATTAGATGATATTTATTTAAAAATTGGTCAATACAGTAATTTAGTCTACAATGTTTCTCACTGATTTAGTAGTCGCATAGGCTGAACTATTCCACTAATATCTGAATGCTGAAATACACTCTCAGTTTAATATGAAAAACCGCTGAGTTCCGGGTGGAAGATAAGACTTCCGTAGAACATCTAAAATCTTTTTCAGCTTGCTCTACAGTTGCCTATAGGCTATCGCTTCCTCTTCACACGATCCCTCTCAGACAAGTGCCCAACTAATCTTTTCCCACTTGGCTCCCATTCGACGTCCTGCCTGGTGCGCGTGGTCTCACTACTCAACGGTCTTCGCAATTCATGTCCAATCCATTTACATTTCCTTCTGAAAATTTGATAGGTGATTGGCTCTTGGCTGATTCGCAAACTGTCACAGCTCCTTGTTACTAGTCCTTTTGACCAGGTATATCTTATCTTCACAATATCAAGCGAAGGCATCTATTGATCAAAAGTCTTCACAAGGCTAATGTAATTACTTTCAGTAATGCATTAAATGTCTCAACCACATAGAATAACAGATATGACATTAGTGTTGAAGATTCAAATATCGTCCATTATGGTAAGTGCAGCATGTAGAGATTTTTTTTTTTAGAAAACTGTGATGAATTAAATTATTCACAGATCACGAAATCAGAGACTATAATTCACTCAAACAAAACAAATCGATAAATTCAGTTTGATGCATAAAATTATCAATCGGTTAAGCGTTTTATTTTGTTTTTATTTTGATTACAGCTTGTTTCCACACCGCATTTTTGGTACAATTATGGAATTTTCAGTATGGATATCGGTAGCCCAAATTTCGCAGGCTTCGTCGGCAGAGGATCGAAACTCGGACCATGTGCATTGTCGGCGACAGTCCTAACCACTGTGTCACCGACGCATATCATATCAATTAGTCTTCATTCTATCCATTTTTGATAAGAAAATCCCATTGAAGTAAGTCATAGACTGGAAAGGGAGGCCGGAAAGAATACGTTAGACATGCGCTCAGAAGACAGTTAAGTGATATTGCAGGCTAGACAGAACCTCAAGAGGAACTCAGATTAACGGGTGTTTTTCGAGGGTGACATGGAGAAACATGTGTGAGGAGGAACTAAAAGATTAATGAAGATCGTGGACAACTGTAGGAAGCAACTGAAATTGAGATTTGCTTCTGAAGCCCTATGCTCCACTCGGAACCCCAGAGAATAGTAATTATATATATAATATAATGAAGGTAATCTCGTTCAAAATCAATAGTTCCACCAATATACCCAAATGGTACAATAATTATGTAATTGCAATGCATGCAAGACATATTTATTCCACAATTAAACAAGAAAAAAAAACAAGCCTACAAAACACACACTTGAAATCTGTGCATATCGAAATGCTCAAAGAAACATGAAACAATTGTAAATTGAAACTTATCAAGTACAAAAACACAAAGTCAACACACAGAGAGAAAATAACCATTTCATGTAAATTCGTCAAATAAAGTTGATAAAACTGGTGAGATTAAAAAAACTGCTTTCTCCACAACGCCACGTATATAATTGTACATCAGTTGAACAATCAAAATATTCATGTGGTTTGATCTCAAGCACTCGAGAGAGCTGTTTTATGTTCTAGACTATTACCTACACTTAGTGTTGTATCAGGTCTGATGAAACCATCCAGTTGGCCACAGTATATTCAGACGAGAAGGGTTTGAACCCGGAACCCGATAGACGGCAAGTTGAGTATTTAAGCTAAAAAGCTACATCTCTACCAGTCAAAATAATACACATTAAGGTAGATGATTTGCCACAGTAAGACCTTTGAACAAGTCACAACTTGTTGTTAAAATAAGACTGTCAAAGAAAAAACTATTACATAATAAAAGTAATATGTAATTTCAAGTTTGTTTTCATGTCTTTTTATCGATTATGCTAATTTAGTCCACGTTAGATTATAAAATATAGCTCTATCTCTGAATAAGCGAATGACGATAATCCATTAGTAAAATTAAAAATTAAAATATTAAATTTAAAAACTAGGATGAAGCGGGGATGTCCTGTTGAAGCCCTATGTTCCACTCGGAACATAAAGGAATAATAAAAACTGGTCGTAAAATTTCAGAGTAAAACGGAAAGAACGATTTCTTTTCCATCACACCACACACAATCAAAACAAAAGATTTATATATATATATTAGTTTTATGTCTTACTCTTGCTTCATTATACAGTGTTAAGCATTCATCGTATTTATCACGTGATGTCTTCAATTCACTTGTCAATAACGACTGTGATATTTGCGCTTCTTTCAGACGATTAATCAACATTTCATTTTCTGCTGTCAACTAAAAAGAAAATACAACAAAACAAAACGAAAAGATTAAATTAATAAATAACAAGTTTGAGCGTGGTGTGTGTGTGTATGTGTGTTTCTACTTCGGTGAAGGTAGCAGGGTGAGGGTGGGGAGCGGAACGATGGATAACGAAGCAAAGATCATGTATATACACATAATACAAGTGTACTAATGATTAGTGCTTCACAGTAATGTATATTGTGAACAACCATCAGTGTACCGGTTGGCAAATCAATCGATTGTCTAAAAATTTATGACTAGAAGTCTACATGATAGAAAATACAAAAAAAACCAACAGGTTGAAAATAAAACCGAAAAAAAAATAAGTTTATTGTTTTCTACAAGTTGATCACGGATTGATATCAGTTAGAGAACCATTGAAAACCAGCACTGGAGTACTGGATAGCTACTGTTTCATCCTAGTTTGGGAATCATCGGAGTAGCACCCACCACCAGGGTTCGAACCCAGGTCCTTCCGGTTACAAGGCAAGCTAGCTCGTACCTACATTCAGCCACTGAGATCCAATTCAATGGCTCATGAATTCTAACTTCTACCAATTCGTACTCCTGATTTCCAATGGTTCTCTAACTGATATCAATCCGTGACGAACTCGTAAAAGCATAACTAACCCTTACAAACCAAAGTGAAGAAAATAAGCTTAATGACTAATGCTGTTACTACAATTTCTAAGATACATGATGATTGTATACATAAACTATGTATCTCAAGACAATATTATAAGAGTATTCATCATAATATAAATGTTTTATTTCACACGAATATTCTCTGTACAGAGAGACAAGTGGTGTGAGAATATGTGAAACAATGTAGAACAACGATTGAAGAGAAATAAAAACACCGAAGATTATACCACCGGTGTATTTTATTTGCTCAAGGTAGACACTGATTACTGATTTGCACTCAAATATTGTTCAGTTTAACAAGAAACAAAAACAGCAAAATGGAATAGAGATATTAGAGCTGAAATGCAAAGTTGACTGCGATATAACGATAACGATAAGGGTTAACCTTCCAAGACATTTCGAATCATAACATAACATGAAACAACTCTGGATAATGGATGTAGGTCGCTAAACTTGCATATATAAAAAAAACCCGTGGATACAAGTCTTTATGCTATTTTTTCTCTCCTGTGACGAAATTATACTAGGAAACATACTTACTTGTATATTATTAACATATTATTATTATTATCTTGGGGGGTGGAACTTCGTATGGTTAACTAATTCACTAGCCAGTTTTAAGCCCAGTTAAAAAAAGGAAGGTTAGACGTGGAGCTAGTGACTCTATCCCACAAAAACCAACCCAATAATCTCCACATAAACTTCAAAGCACAGAGAAAATTTAAAAAAACAAACTTATTCTCTACTGATATTGAATAGACAGAATGACATAGGTGAGTAGAAAGACTTCTGGAAGCAAGTTAGCCGATGTCATCTCTCAATGAAAGCAAAAACAAGCATAAGAACATGGATTGGCCAGACTGAGATGGTTGCTTAAGATTGCGAAAGAAACGGGAAGATAGGGATTGAAGTGCTACGAATCTGTGAGAGGATATGGATGGAATGGAAGTGGATTCTGCATTTTTTTTAACTACCGAGTTAGTAATCTAATCTGGTCACCCAGGCGACAACCACCAGTACACTGGTGGAGTGGCTACCATCGAAGGATTTATGCAGTGAGAATCAACCTCTCTAGGATAGTGACTAGCATATTTAAATTATGCGAAATCGTACAAACGAGCTGCGCAAGATAATCACCAATACATAAAATCATGCGGACGAGCAGAAATCTGTAATCTTTGCAAGGAAATAAAATCCTGTAGAATACTAGAGCTACACACTTTAAGAATCAGTGGCACGTTCCATTAGAAACTAACATAAGAGAACTCATAAATACAAGTAGGCTTAGAAAATTCCTTTAAGGTTTGTTAAACACCATAAATACGTCATAAGATATCTCGAGTACGATTGTTTTACTTTACTTATTTTTAAATCACTCAAACGACCTTCAATTCTCTCTTAAAATATAACACCAAAAAGTGAGCTAGACAGAAATGATTAAAAGATTACCCAAAGCATCGATGAATACTAAGTGCATAGTTTATTTAAACCCCATAGGTTTAAACAAAAGTTCACAAATTTCTCTCTAAATATCAAATGGACTTACAGCGACCAGTGCGTCCATTTAAATAGCCAGGAAATTCTTAGTAACAAGAAAACCAATGAAACCTGAGTGCGAATGAGAAGTCGTGACCAGTGGGGTACAATAGATTGGGTGTGAGGACAAATACTCACCGCTAATGACACTGGCCTGTGGTCGCGCTATTTCGTGAATTAGCAGAAACTGAAATTCAAGGGCCGTTGGACCTGGTACCAGTGGCCCAATGGTCAACGAGCTGGCTTTTTAACTGAGGGGGTACTGAGTTCGAACCCCAGTGAGTGCGTATTGATGAATAACTCTCAAACTGGGATAAAACGAACGTTCAGTACTCTGTGGTTTCCAATGCTTTTCTAACCTATGTTAGTTCAGGAACACATCCTGTAACTAATCAAATCAAATCCCAGCAAATCAACACTTTAAAGCTGCGTAAGACGAATCTATGTCAAAAAGAAAAACAGCTTTTGTAAGCCTCCAATTACTCCTTTCTTCTTATAGTGTAGTTCATTTGATGAAACACAAGCGCTTGCGATCAACACCACAATAACAACATGCCATCTAAGCAATTCAAAATTTCTCCTCCTTTTGACAACAAATTACACTATTATATTAAAAATAACTTCTAATCAAACATTTTACAGATGAAATTTCAACGACAGAATACCCTTCCTTTGCTTCTATAAGCTGACATGAAAAAATGCCTTTTTCATGAAGTATTTTGAAGATATAAAACTCTGTACTGAGAGTTCAAGGAATGCAAGAAGTGAAGTTGGAAAGCCATCTGATTACTACTAGTTATTGATAATATACACAATCATCTAGTGCATGGGTGAATTAAAACTAAAATAGATCCGCTGAAGATCTTCGACTGATTAGGTTTCAATTGAAGAACTCCTGACAAAGTCAAGTTTGTGAGGATCTGGTTAGCTTCAAGGTGTCATAATCTTAGAGAACCATTCAAAACCAAGAGGCGCTGAATGGTTATTTCTTCTCAGTTTAGGAGTCTTTCACAGTGCACACACATATTCTCACCAAGGGACAAGCTCACGACCTTCAAGTCATGAGTAGAATATTGGATACCAATCTAACCTGTGAATTTCAACTTTTCTAAATGCGTGATACAGTACCACTGCTGATTAATGTTACTAGCAGGTACCTGTCTTCACACTCAGTTTGATATATCTCCCTGGTCCCTACTAAGCATCAGAACTTTGAGGTGTTCTTCAAGAATTTTTACCACAATGATCAGTTATTCAATGAATGAACTACGGCTCCCAAAAGACCTCTCTAACCGGTGTCTATATTTCAATGAATCCATGTTGAAGGAAACTAAAACTCTATTAAACCCAACAAAGTAAACTAGGATCAGTGGGATGCTCGCCGACCATGCTCATGGTCCGGGGTTCGATCCCCTGCCGACGCACGCCTGATATCTATGGTCGGCCTGAAAAATTTGGGCTACCGATATCCATGGTTAAATTCCATACTTGTACCAAAAATACAGTGTGGAATCAAGCTGTAATCAAAAATAAAAATAAATATTGGTATTTTGAACAGTTTAAAGTAATTCCTTCTATTCCTTCTATACTCTACATCATTTCAAGCAGACACTCTTAACCTCAAATACCAATGAGAACAAATGATAAAAGCAGAATTTAATTAAATCCCTTGCCACCCACATCCGACGCATCTGTAGTCCAGATGTTCTAGAAACAGAATTAGACCTTTTGAGATAAATCTTCATCCAAAATGGATACCCATCAAGATTCATTGACAAAAATATCAAATCAAGAATTCGGAGAAGGGAAACTTCACTTGCTCCGGAAAAAAACTTTACATGAACTTGGATTTCAAGGAAGATTTAGCAAGCGATATTCTCAGGAGAAGGATCACATCATCCCTGAGAAGAACATTCTTTTGCTGAAACGCTAAGAATAATGTTCTCAGTCTCCTACTGATCTGCAGAAGCCTTAAGGACAAGATCCTGCATCTGACCACTTCTACGTATTATAGCAGTTCACCTGCTGATATGGAGTCAGGTACATCGGTCATTCGATGCGCAGCCTGTCCAAGAGGATTAAAGAACACTATCCAGCCACCATGGTTGCAAAAATGCAATAGTGGTGCTATAAGGAGTGCGATAATTGAATACCTCGTTAATACTGATCATTCCATCTCAACAAACGCCTCCTGATTCAAAGTAATCTACAGAGTTGAGAATAACCTACCAAAGGCAATACATTATAGATAAGATTTTATTTTGATAAATCGCACAGTGTTTACAGTTATATGAACTGTAAACACTGTGCGATTTATCAAAAAAAATCTTTTCTATAATGGAATTATACTCTACCACAGTGCCCAAGTTTTATACTTATATCAAAGCAAAGGCAATACAGTTTTGTCTTTTTTGTACGGAGCTGAAGCTCTGACCATTCACATAGAAAAACTGTAGCTGTGCATACAAAAAAAGAACTATTCACCCACTTCTACTACCATGGTAACAACTTTGTTGATTTTTGAAGATTTAATTTTGTTTGTTTACCTGTTTCTTCAATTTTTTATAACTCGTGCATTCATCTTGAACTCTTACGTAATTTCGTATTCGCTACTTTGTTCCTGTGTGTATCCTGAGTACAACTCCATAAACAAACTCTAGTCACGTTATTACGCAACTCTTTTTTAACAACTGTATGTAACAACTCACCACCTTTGTTACTACACTAGTTTCATTAACACCCAATTTTCTTGACCGTTTTTGTATTACATAACTCTACCAAAAACTTATTTTCAACTGTTTAGTTAAAATATAATGATAACCAATGTACTTTTAAGTGGTGACTAGCAGTGGAATCCAAGATGCGCATTTCGTCCTATTTAGACTCGTCAGCTGGATTTACCTGCATTTCTCAGTGAATGATGATGTTCCCACCGAGGCTCGAACCCAGTACCCATAGTATCAAACGCCAAAGCGTTATCCACTAGACCATTTGGGCCACGAGAGCCATCTCTTGTGCAACGGGTCATATTAATTATTGAATTGAATTTTTGATTTTCCCGTCGATTGATTGAACGAAGTGCTCGGTCTCAGGTTGATATGTCGACTTCTTGTGCAGATGCTTCGACGATCTCCGGGCATTTAATTAGTATTTAATTTGTGGATTAAAAAAAGTGAATAACGCTTTGGTGTTTGAAACTATGGGCACTGGGTTTGAGCCTCAGTGAGAACATCACTCGCCGAGAAATGCAGGTACATCCACCCGACGAGTCCCAAATAGGACCGAATGCGCATTTTGGATTCCACTGCTAGGTCACCATCCACCAATTAATATTAATTAAATGCCTAGACATCGTCGAAGCATCTGCACAAGAAGTCGACATGTCAACCTGAGACCGAGCACTTCGGTTCAATCAATCGACGGGAAAATCAAAAATTCAATCAAAACAATTGTATTTTTGGTTTCACAAACTTAACGTACACATACATACAAATAATCCCCTTAAATATTTGCATTGTACAGCTAAGTGTGAATGAATTCACCGAAAAGAGACTCTTCGCTGAAACTACGTTTTCATTAATGCTGAATGGGGATTATCATGAAATAAAAACAAAAACAAAAAAAATGAAAAAGCATTTACCTGTTTAACTCGACTTTCTAAATCTAATCCTCGGGTTTAGTAGACGTGTCACTTCAGATTGTTGATTAATATAAGCATCAGATTTTTTAGCCAATTCATCTGATAATGTACGTATATGCATATTGGCAGCAATCAGTTGACGTGCACAATCTCGAACTAGAGCAGTTTCATTCCAGCTGATCTGCAGTTTCTGACAGACGATTACGCTAATCGAAAGTAAAGTGAACAATAAAAATAATAATAACAAAATAAACAAACTACTAGACAATTGAATTTCAGACATTTAATATTTATTTATTTATTTAATTATTAATTTTTTTTTTAAAACAATCATTATCAACAAAAACACGTGAGAAAAATTTTAATGAAAGTTAATAGTGAATTCTATCACTGGAGTAGAAACATAAAATAATCGCAATAAAAATGAGAGAAGTGATCAAAACTGAAATCAATCGAAAAACTCCTATAAATAAAAACTTCAAAATTCATTTTGTACCGGTAGTATTTTCTATAGTTTGGTTTGTAAGGGTTGGTTATGTTTTTTACGAGTTGATCACGGATTGATATCAGTTAGAGAACCATTGAAAACCAGCACTGGAGTACTGGACAGCCAGCTATTTCATCCTAGTTTGGGAATCATCGGAAGTACGCACCACCACCGGGGTTCGAACCCAGGACCTTCCGGTTACAAGGCAAGCTAGCTCGTATACCATTCAGCCACTGAGACCCAATTCAATGGCTCATGAATTCTAACTTCTACCAATTCGTGATTTAGCGCGACCCCAACCATTGTCGTTGGTGGGACATCCATCCACGCACGTGACATCTAATTGGACCTCACTGGTCACTTCTCACTAGAACTCAGGAAACTCCAACCTGTAGTAAGTCACTAGCGAGCATCAGATTAATTTTCTATAGTTTGGTTTGTAAGGGTTAGTTATGTTACGGATGTTCCACCAACGACAATGGTTGGGGTCGCGTTAAATCACGAATTGGTAGAAGTTTAGAATTCAAAAGCATTGAATCGCCTCCCAGTGGCTGAATGGTATACGAGCTAGCTTGCCTTGTAACCGGAAGGTCCTGGGTTCGAACTCTGGGTGGGGGTGCGTACTTCCGATGATTCCCAAACTAGGATGAAACAGCAGCTTTCCAGTACTCCAGTGCTGGTTTTTCATGGTTCTCTAACTGATATCAATCGTGATCAACTCGTAAAAAACGTAACGGTAGTAGACAAAAGACAATTACTCACAAACGAAACTGTGTGCAGACATTTTTCAAAAGAGTTCAACACATTGGAGCACTCCAGAGTTGAAAACAATGGTCTTCAAATAAGAATGGTTATCCAAAAAATTTCATCAAAAAGTGTTTTAAAGTCGAATCAAAACACCATCATGGAACCATCATCAAAGACACAAGAAAATTCATCCTACCATACATGAGAAATATCTCTGAAATAACAGCTAGAATACTGAAACCGTTGATATAAATGTAGTACACAAGCCAGTCAATCGCTTAATTCGATATTATGCAAAGATCCAACAGAAAAAGGGGATAAAATTAACACCATTTACAAAGTAAATTGTATGAACTGTAACAGACATTACATCGGCCAAAGTGGGCGTCCCTTTCCAGGAACACAAATCAGCCGTGAAAAGGCACGATAAATATTCTTTCTTCATATCATGCATATAGACAATTATAGACATCAGTTTGATGGAATAATGTCGAATTCTTAGACAGAGGGGACACCAAAGGGCAGTCAGGGAATTCTAGAAGCCTGGTAATCAAACGAAAATGCAATTAACAAAACGTTAATATAGACGAAATATACCAACTAATAAAAAGTAGATCATGTGACGAGAAAGTTTAAAATCCAAGTTCAATAGAAAATGGTCAATACATATGTAAGGATGGTTACCAGGAGACGCGATTCTATTCACTCATGAAGAAATTTAAATCGTTTCACATTATGCTAAATATTTCGCTGAAGAGGTCGTATTGAAAGGACGACGAAAGCTCCGCAACTAAACCCAACCAGCTCAGAGAACACTTAATTGCAAGACTTGGCATCTCTACATAGCGAAATTATGTGCATTAGAACTATATTCCATTGCGTTCCGAGTGGAACATAGGGCTTCAACGACATATCTCTCTGTTTTCTGCTGTCTTCTTCACAGCTGGATCCACGATCGACCAAACTTACCTCATCTCTTACTCACACGATCTCCTCCATGTCCACGCTCGCACCGACGACTCACTCTCGCTTCCTATTGGGATTCAACTCGAGCGATGGCCTGGCGTGCGATGTCATTCGGCGGCTCCTCAACGTATACCCAATCCATCTCCACTTTCTCCTACATATTTGTTGAGCCATGGCGGCTCTCGCCAGTTCGTTTGTATCAGCCGGAGTTTCTTGTTGCTTATTCTTCCTGGCTGGCAATTTGATCTTCAGATGAAGCCAGCGAAGGAGGCAGCTGTTGATGAAAGTCTGCAGTGGTCTGTTGGAAGAATCCTTTTCGTGACCCGTCAGAAGAACCGACTTCACATCCGTATTCATTCAATGGTTGAAATCATTATGTCACACACTAACATCCTCTTTTTATTGACAACTTTCTTCTTGTATCTCTTCAGGGAAAAGCCAGAAGCAATTTAATAACAATTTAGGCTCGTATGTATATCTGCTTAATAATAAGAATTCAACTATACTATATTTAGTAATGAGTCTTGTGTGAAGAGACAAATATCAGAGAGAGGCTTATAAACTCCTACTTTTTACTCTGTAAGTAAAAACCATAGACAACTATACAGAATTACTATTGCACGTGGTATTGACTTTCAGTTTTTTTTTATTTTTCTATTTTTGGGAATCCATTTATTTATAAAAGGAGATAAATTGTTGTGATATGCCTAAATGCTGACAATTCCAGTCTATGTAGGAAATTATTGCTTGTAATAAAGTGATCATTATTATTATTACTACTATACACACATCCGACAAATATGGATAATTGGATAGTTAAATTACATACCTCTTGACGTAGTATATTATTCTCTTCTTCTAAATCTTGAAGTTTTCTGTTCAACTGGGAAAAGTTGACTGAAGACAAGGAGAGTCCATCACCTCCAGTACTGGATCTACACAGATTTAGAAACGACAATGATTTGAAGAAAATAATAATAATGATTTCAACAATAACTGAGAAAGTTTTCTTAAACACTAGCTAAACATGTTGATGTCAGTGGAATTTATAAATCAATAAAGAAGAGGTTAACAAACAAAAAGTCCAAATATATTTATATAGGGTCGACCAGAAAATCAATATCAAACACAAATAAATATAATCAAAGGCAAAACTACAGAAACAGCCAATCACAGTGAAGGTCAACAGGAGAGATAAATATTTATTTGATTGGATACTAGGTAGTATTAACTAATGGTGCAGACTGAATTCTACAATCCAGGTTACTGCAAAACTGTCCAAACAAAGTATTCACTACGGCACCACAGAAGGTTAATCAGAAGGCCGAAGAGCTCAGTGCAATGACCATGACTGCAACATTAGGTGACGCGGGCTCAAATTTCAGAAGGGAGGACACGAGTCCCTTCAAGATTTTAGATACATACGTCTTGCTTATGAGTGCCAACAAGCACAAAACCTAGATTCAAGACTTCTTGTCAATCACATTCGACCCCCTCTAACAGACAAATATTTTGTTTATGGAGGATTTTAAAATCGCATTTCTCAATGAAGTTAGCATTGAACATGTTCAAAAATACAATGAAGGCGTAGAGAACAGAAAAATTCACCCGAGCTATAAATCTCTTACTATTTCAATAACAACTAGAACAAATATTCTGGAGAAGAATTAATTAAAGCGACTGACTGCTTTCCAAACATTCTTCTTCAAACCAAACTGTTATAAATCCATTAAGTTCAGCATGCAATAAATAGCCAGGAAAGGCAAATTAGAATTATGCTATAAAGTGTATTTATTGAGTGGTGCAAGTACAAGATGGAGTAATAGTCAGTCTGGCTTTGATTATCAGTTAAATCCATAAAAAAGAAACTACAGAGAAATTAATCAACATATGACATACGTAAGACATTTTAGAATAAAAATATCAGTGAACACGTTTCATTCAGTTATGCATTTATTCGGCCAAGTTACACTTTAAGCACAACTAACTACCACCAATGGAGTGCGTACGCACCAATGATCTTGACATGTTCACTCAGCAAGTTAGTGGAACCTGGCAAATAAAGTTGCCATCATCAATAAAATATGCTCATCGAAGTGTTATATTATTAATTGGGACATTTGGCGAGTTTCAGCTTAGGGTTGGTAAAGATTAAGTTACCCCTTAGGCCAAGGACAAGTTAGGGTTAAGTTAACCTAATAAAAGACGATATTAGAGTTGGTTCGAGTTAGATTACAGTTAGTTTAAGGATATTTTCACGTTAGGGTTTAGTTCAGAAAAGATTTGGGTTATTGCTAGGGTTAGAAGACCTAAATAACTACATGCATAGAATGTGATTAAATTTCTCTGTTGATGTAAGAATAGAACTTGTGCACTGTAGTATAATTCCATTGCTGATAAAATTTATTTTGATAAAGTCTCACGGTGTTATACAGTAATATTTGCTGATGACGTTTCGAGCACAATCTATTGTTCAGTAAATACTACCGTATAACACTATGAAACTTTATCAAAATAATTTTTACCCACAGTGGAATTACACTATGTTGATACTGAAGCCTGAAACAGAATTATTTTTATCATATGTGAGAGGAAAGTATCCTCTGTAACACTTTTATACAGTTTTTCTGCAATTTCTTCATATATATGTGTATTCCATACACAAAATGCCTCCTTCACACGATTTGTCCGTTCGAGGTCATTCGATGATTGATAGTTAGTGGTGCTTAAAGTTTAACTTTGCCCATGACTCATATACCACTTCATTTATTGGGAAAGTGGTATCAAAACTAATGGGTTTAAATGATGAAATCTCAACCCAAATACAAAAAGCTTGTATGGCATTTCCAACCTACATAACCTCTGGAGTGAAGGTGATATCCGACTGTCGACTAAAGGACGTATGCACTGCACAGAAGTTCATTATATCTTGTTTCTGGTTATGAGACATATCTGTTGAAAGGAGAAGACTTGAGGAGACTAACTGTCTTTGACCATTGGTGTCTACATCCTATCTCCCGTTTTAAAGTAGTATATTATAGTGAGTAATGCTGAGAAGTTAGACGTAAAGAATTAAGTAAGGTGTATATGTCAATCGAGGCCGTTGAGCCTATGCCGTTATTGCCTTACACCTCTGTTTACTGTCTATACTATGCCTTTCTTGTACTTTCTTCTCTTGCTTTGTGTGCTACATGGGTTGTGGCGACTTGAACTGCCGCACATATGTGCAAAGTTCTATGTCGAAAACAGACAGACAGTTAAATCGATTGAGATGGCTAGGACATCTGCTACGTATGCCGAGCTATCACCTTCTTCGACCAGCAATGTTACCTGACATAGGATTAGGTTAGAAAAGAGTTAGGGGTGAGATTAAACCGAAACCTAGTATCACTCTATGAAATCTTTAACTGTTCGTTTGAATCGATCAAATAACGAGGTGCAAACTGCTTTAGATGGGAGTCCTCGAAAAACTGAAAACCAAAAAGCCTGAGACCAATGGTGATATACCCATTCTGTTTCACTCTTATACTTGTCAAACTCTATTAATTCTCTTCACTCATCTTCTTGTCTACTTTTGTGTGCTATTTGGAACGTGGCAACTCGAACTGCTGCACTTCGGTGCCAAGTTCTATGTTGAATCCAGACAGACAGACAGATATACCTTATAATCTTTCTTTCAATGGTGCAGATGCATTCACTTTTTATGAACCCAACAGATCCAGTAAAATTGTTATTTTCCTCCACCTACTAATTCATTCCACCGTACATTTCTGATCATTGTAGTCACCTTAATGTGCTATATGGAGTACGGCAACTAGAACTGTTGTATATTTTTGTGCAAGGCTCTATATTGAAAACGTTGAACAGTAATCAGTCTGGATACGAGAAATACAGTAGACATGAGTGAATACCTCTCAGACTGGTTGTAAAACTGAGTGTTTTTTTTATCAAAGTATTCTACAAAGATAAGTTGAACCGATAAACAAGCCTTAAACTATTAATGATTGAATGACACAGAAGGGAGACCTTCCTCCCCCACCCCTCAAGAAACTGTTTCCAGGATAGCTTTTCCGAATAAACCCTACATTAAAACTACCTTCACCTCAGGAATTCAAAACTATTGTTCCGCAATTCGACCACTTCTAATTCATAATCTCTGTTATTCCCCACAACTGAAACATTAACTAACGCAAGTTTAGCACAGCTTAGTTATCAAAGTCGTCAGTATAAAATTGTTAACTATTTACTCAGAAAGTCCTGCTCTAATTTATTGCCTTCTATATGCGGGGAGTTACGTGAAGTTAATCTCATGAGAAGAGATGAAAAGTGATTTAATAGATAGCTTATATATGTACAGGCCAATAAGGCATACCACTATTGGTTGAGCTACCACACACACACACACACACACAACATGCCATTTTTATGGTACATATCCATACATTACTTAATGGACATCTTTCTCATTTCCCTTTAAACCAAGCATAAACAAAAATGTATCCAGTATGCTGATTATATATATATATATATATATATATATATATATATATATATATATATATATAAAATTAATTTTAAGAGCAATGCCTTATTTTTGGAAACATGAAAGACTGTCATTATTACGAGTTATAGTAATAATTCAAAAAACAATTATTATTATTATTATTATACAATGGGATTGCATATCAGGACAAAAATAGGATGAATGTCTACACACCCAAAATAATAATAATAATAACAATATTGTGTATTGTTATTGTAGATAACCCGTTTGGAAAAGAAGAAAAATTATGGATTATATAGTCAACTTAAGTTAGAGGAGTATGTTACAACAAAAACAACAACAACAACACCAACAAAATCAAAATAAAACCATCAATCACCTAGATGTGCAACTGGCCAGTTGAATAGAAATGATTATATCTATTGTATTGGTGGACTGGGTCAGGCGACAAACCGTGTGTGTGTGCGGGGGGGGGGAGGGAGCGAGAAGACGGGAATACGTTGGAATGACAAGAAGACTGTAGAAGATTTGAAATTAATGGATGATTTATGTTAAGTGTCACACAAACTAGAAGATCTACAGGCAAGTTGACGGAAGAGTCAGAGGAGACAGGACTGTAACCGAAAATAGAGAAGACGGAAGTGATGAAAAAACCCGATCAGCATAAACCAGAGTAATTTTTAAAAATTGATTCTTTCAACTATCTAGGAGCCATGCTTTTGACCACAGTCCGGTACAGATGAGGATGTTAAAGCCAGGCAGACATTCGTTACACTGAAATCAGTGTGAAAACCTACAGCATTCAAAGAATAAGATTCCGATTTCCCACACTAATTTCCAGTCAGTCAGTGCTTCTATATTGGTTCAGAGACTTCGTGAATTCGTCAACATAAGCATTTCGAACAGACTTCAGACTTTCATCAATCACTGGCCTTTGCTCCATACTCCTGATCAGAGACAATGAACTAACCAACAACTTATTGTCCAAGATATATGGTGACGTTAATGGAGATGGATCGGGGACACACTGAAGAAAGACCGTTGATGGACATCACACGCCAGGGAGAACCTTGACTGGAACGTGAATGAAAAACGGTGAGTTTGATATATGTTCGTGAGTTACATAAAGATTTAATCTAAGGAAAGAGATGAGACCTTATAGGCAGTCATGAAGCCAGCTAGAGATGAAATAGAGATTTACTGGTAACGCCCCATGTTCCACTTGGAACGCAAGGGAATAATAATAATTATGCTCACAGTATGATTATCCGCTTATTCATCTTCCACACACACACTTCCACGTGGTCGCGAAAGATGTGGGCGTAACTTCAAATAATAAACGTGTATATCACTGGCTAACATACATGAACCTGGCAGCTGGGTCGTGTAGACAGTCTGTAAAGTACTAAGCTGGATCTGTCCCTGCATTGA